GAAGAAAGTGGGCATTTTAGGAATTTCTCTGTGATATGTTTTAGCCCAAATTTGCTAAGAAGACAAAATTGGCAGAGTTAAGTACAAAAGAAGAGTGCGGATGGACTCCCAGGATTTTTATTGCAGTGGCTTGGGCAATAGCAACTGGAATGGGGATGGCAGGACAAGAACTAGAAACTGAGTCAGTGCTTTTGGGGAAAGGGAATGCTCCATTTACTTTAACCATTGCATGATTACACGGCATGAAGGTGGCCTTCACTGTCTTCCTCTCTTTCCAGCCTTGATTTGATCAACCTTGGAGGTCCAGCCTAAATGTGTTCTTTGTATCTACCTTGATGCACATATAGCCCTCTGAGCACAAAAACAGTGTCATAGGTTAAACATGGAGTTTCCTGTGTGCACCCAGAGAAACTCTAATTATTTAAGGTCCCCATGCTTATAATGGTCATCTCTTCATGTGTTTGGTTATCTTCTTTGGGAGTAAGGGGGTGGTGGATTTCACCACCAGTACTTAGACATTAACTAGTCTGTGTTGAGTACTTTTGTGTGTGTTGTAGGAAGTCTCCATAGCAACTCATCATCTTTATTAGAGCCCTCCTGCAGAGGAGTGTCTTGCCAGTGGTGATGGTGAATTTGTGTATAATTGCTGTCAGCCCTTGGGACCAGCACACCATTGTTAGACTGGCTCTGTGGATTTGACTTGGCTTTAGGTAATTCTGAGAGCAGCAAAGGTCTATACCATTTATATTATACAATAGAAAATCAACACTTCTTTTATGGATAAAAGTGCATTTTATGTGGGCTATTTCTTTACATTATTTATTTGTAAATAAATAATGGGACACTGGGGATATTAGGTAGTCCTAATAGTTCCCATTAGGTAGTCTCCCAAATCCCCATTTTATGATGAGCACATTGTAGTTCCCAGAGATGTGGGTTTGAGGACACCAATTTATGATAACTTCGTTTTGACAATTTAGTGATTTTTGCAATGATGTATGTAGTATCTGTCTTCGTCTCTCTTTTTAAGTTTTACCATTTGTCAATTCAACAACAAACTCTCACAAAACAAACCATTTTAGTACATAGAGAAATAACTATTATTTCTGATTATTTCTTCAGGTTTTGTTTCAAGTTTCTCTAACCATTGATAATGTAACTTGGGAAATAGTGTTAGGAAGGTTAATGTATTTCATGGTGGGTTTTTTTTTTTTTTGTCTTTTTGAGACAGGGTCTCCCTGTAGGAAATAGTGTGTTAATGTATTTCATGGTGGGTTTTTTTTTTTGTCTTTTTGAGACAGGGTCTACCTGTAGCCCCAGGTGTTTTAAATTTTATTTATTGTCATTATTAGGTGGGAACATGGCATGCACAGGTCACAGCACAATTATGGAGGTCAGAGGACAACTTTGTGCAGTTGGTTCTCTCCTTCTGGTTTTATGTAGGTTCTGGGAATCGAACTCAGGTACAGCCTGTGCAGCAAAAGCTTTACCCTCTAAACCATCCTTCCAGCCCTTTCATGACATTTTAGCAAAGATTATCACCACCAAGAGTATCGTGGACTACAATTTCATTTCCTTAATTCTCTGAAGCAACAACACAATGACCTGCACCAATTACCACCAGAAATAAAGATGTCAGAAGTAAGGCTTACTGAAGATATGGGCTCAAAACTGCTCCACCACATGAGAATAGACAGGACCCAAGTCTTCAGTCTGGAGCCATTGACTTTTCAGGATACACAGCATTTAAACAAACACGCACATATGCGTGTGGGGACATCTCAGCAGGGAGAAAGGAGATGTAAAAAATATCGAGCAATTTCACAATCAAAATCCTTTTCTGGCCAGCTCTCAGCCACACTGACTTCTCAAGGGCACCTTGATTGAATGGGGTAGGGCTGCACCAAGGATTTCTCTCACTTAGGGAAGCATTTCCTGGGAAAGCTGAGAGAGTAAAATCACCAAATATCCAAACAAGGTTCTCACCCCTTCCAGGACTACCTTCAGAAAAGACTCTGGGACCCTTTTCTCCATTGAGGGATGGGGGCTAGGAAAGGGGCATGGCTGTTTGGCTGCTGCTGTTGTCATAGTGAATGTCCCTGCAGACTAAGGTGTTCTGTTGAAGGTTTGGTCCTTTGTGCTGTGTTCAGAGGTAGAGCTGGGAAAGTGTTTGGATCTGAGGGCAAGCTCTAAGCTAATCAATGAATTGGTCCATTGATGAATTCATCATACTGGTAGAGACTAGGAAATGGGGCTTCTGCGTCCTGGCAGCCGTGAGGTCAGCAGATCTGACTGTCCATGCCCCTGGCACCATAGTGTTTTGCTTCACTTCAGGCCCAGAGAAGTGAAGCTTCCTAGTCATGTACCAAAATTCCTGAAGCCATAAGCCAAAATAAGGGTTTCCTTCATTAAGTTCTTTTCCTCAGGGATTTCACCATAGTGATGGAAAATGGACTAATATCAGCATCCTAGAAATCTTAACAGAATCATTCAAACATAGAAATATTGAAGATTGGGACAAATCACAGTCCCAAGTATGAGATTTAGTACTTACGTTTTAAATAAGGTGGTAATCGATTGTCTCAAAGTGTACTTTAGTAACTTTATATTCTACTATAAGAAAATACTGGAGACCTCATGGCTCAAACAGCAAACATTTGTTTGTCATGGTTCCTAGCATCAGATAATCCAGGGTGCTGGCATGTTTGGTATCTCAGAGGGCCCAAGGAGCTGCTGTCTTCTTATTTTGTCTTCACATTGCCTTGCCTCGATGTATGTAAGTAGAGAGAGAGGGAGAAAGGGAGATGGAGTGAGGTACAGAAAAAGAACTGTTTAACCAGGGGTTTTGTAGTTAACATTAGATAAAATTTGTATTTGTATTTTACTATAAATTTTATCACCTCCCTCCCCCCTCCTCCCTCCTCCTTCCATCTCTCTCTTCTGTGTGGTGTTGAGTATTGAACCCAGTTCATTGCACATGCCAGGCAAATTCTCTATCACTGAGCTACATCCCCAGTACCACCCAAGCATGTGATCCACATGAAATGCATGTACCTTGATAATCTTCCTCATTTCTTAGGATTTTTACCTTAAACTCTATTCCATGAACTGCTGCCATTAACATATCACTTCAAAATTTGCTATAGATTTTACTTAAATAAGATCTTTGTACATCAATGAAACCGGAAATTGCTTTGATTTTCATGATTAGTCCTTAACAAAAATATTCCCCTGCATATCAATAAGATGCTTCCAATTAAATGTATTGGCAAGAAAAATATGACAGCACCCACGCCACACTCCTCAACTCTCAAATTATACTTTGCTGGCACCCATGGCATTTAGTGTAAAAAGCATCATAAAATATTTAGTGTTTATATTTTATAGAAATTGTCACTGCTTTTCACTGCAATGTTAGTGATTCAAATGAAAATATAAATCCAACCCTCTTCTCATATGGCATGAAATGCCAAGGTTACAATTTTCTTTGAAAATTGGTGAGGAGGCATCATCAGTACACTTCTTCTTAAAGGTAGAATTTCAGCACAATGAATTCGATTTGAACGAATCCTTACCCTTGGATTAAAGACTGTATCTTCTCATAACCCCTACCTCAAAAAGCATTTGCCGAAACTTTGGGTCATTTACTTCTTTTTACTTATTAGATTGCGATTTTTTTCAAGGACTAGATATCTTCACCATTTGAATGGCACTGTTCTAGTTGATGGATAGAAGGAAGAGAGGGCAGAAGGGAGGGAAGGAGGGAGGGAGGGAAGGAGGGAGGGAAGGAATGAAAGAAGAAAATGAGTGATTTCTCCAACATAAACACACTCAAAACCCTTAAATGAAGCTGAGAAAATCCCAGCCATCCTTCCAGTCACTCATTCTTTCAGTCTTAAAAACCTGGGATTCTTTGTTCTCTTCTCTTACTGAGATACTGACCATTTTTCCTGTAAAGTTTCTTTTATCTTTTTGTAGTCTAGGTACAACAGACTGCTCTGCTCTTTGGTGAAGCCACAATCATCTTGCTTCCCCAATTTCTAAAATCCATTTTATATTACTTATAAATTATCTGTTACTTTAGGAAATTTGAATTACTCAGATGCAAAAAAAAAGTACAAAACAATAGTTGAACATCCATGTCCCTCTTGGCTGGCTTATAAAACACAGGGCTTAAAATGCAATCAAAAGCCCATCAGCAAGCCTTTTTCTAGCCTCATTTCCTTCCCTCCTCACCATCATAATTATAGTGGTTATTGTCATGCACTGAACACATATGTGTACTCAGAAAGATATACAATGTTTTTTCATTTCAGCCATTCCTTTAAGAAACTAGCTCTGCCACTTCTAATAGCATGCTCAAGAAAGTTAATATCCTTGAAGTTTATTTTGCCTATTTGTAAAATGAGGAAAATGAGACTATTTAGTTCATAAGACTATGGCATAAATTGAATGAGATAATACACAAAGCTATCAAGAAGTTAAGGTATTTGATAACTTTTTGTTTCATTAGCGAAAGTTTGAGAAATAGAATGTTGTATCATGTCAACTGTGTGTCAAGTATTGCTTTAGGAACCAGGAAAATGGTAATGACCTTAATAACTGCCTCTTTTCCATATTAAGTTCTCAGCTCAATCCAAGTTCCAAACACCCCACACAGTACACAGTGGGCACAATGTCAAATTGAAAAAAATGAACCTATTGATTCTCTGAAAGCAATATAAATACTCAAGGAGGACTCTGGGCCCAAATGGCAGAAGGGCATTACACCTGACAGCTAAACTCTCTACGAGTTAATGAATTCTCTTCAAATAGTGATGGTTTCCATGTAGTATGTAGTAGTTTGCCAGTAGCCATAATAATAGAGTAGTGAGAACACTGTACTTAACGATGGTGTTGAGTAACCAAGATTAGTCTCTTTCTCGAATTCCTTGCCTTTACACAAGATAACACTCCCAACTTCCAATTGTCAACAGTCATTTTCTCTCCTTGAATTTTAGGTCTCATTGTTCATGAAGGAGCTGCAGTTTACAGAGTATTTAAACGCTGGCGAGCTGTCAATTTGCACTGGGATGTTTTAAATTATGACAAAGCCACAGACATCGAGGAAAGTAGCCGAGGAGAGTCTTCCACAAGCAGGACTTTATGGTTACCACTGTCGGCTCTACGAAACAGAAACTTGGTCCACCCAACGCAACTCACCTCACCACGGTTTCAGTGCGGCTACGTGCTGTTACATCTATTCAACCGGATGAGGGCCCACGAAGATGTGTCAGAAGAAAACGGCTCCGGGGAGGTTGTGATGAGAGTGACATCTGTGTGACAGATCCATGGTGTGGACCCCTGCACATTTTGGAATGTAATTGCAATGAATGGCAAAACCATAGCACTTCTCAAATTACATCTATGAACTTTTTAAAACCTATGCTTTTTATATGAACATTTGAATTGCAAATACATTTTTCTGAAAAAAGAGTCTTCTTGTTTGATTTACGACTTGTCATATCTTTTATAAGTTAGTACTTGAAATCATTATACATACTATTTAACTGCTTGGTTAAAAAGAATAATGAAAATTATTATTTAGGCTCAAACTATTTTTTTCTTGCTTATTTTAAATATATTTGCATTATCACACTTTTTGCTGAATGTGTAAGTTTTCAGACAGTACAAATGGGGCAGTTTAGAATGATGTGGGCAGATTCTAAAGTGCTTATCAGAGACACAACTTTGAGGTGCTCCACAGTCAAACCTCATGCTGGTTGGCAAATGTGTTCATGGCTTTTTTTTTTTTTCTGTAATGGAAAACAACTGTTTTCAGAAATGCAAGTTCTAAGAGTTGTGGTTTGCTTCTAAACCTCTGAAGCACCACAGGGAGAAAAGAGAAAAGGAAACAGATTACAATGGTTTGACTCCCATTCATCATCTTAAGCAGGCATCACATTCTAAACACTTGTGACTGTCACAAGCTCAGTTCACCAAAGTGTCTCACAAAATAGGTATTGCAATAGTACAGAATCTCAAAGCTGCCTCCTCACGTTGGTATGGCTCTTTAATAGACCTATCATAATTATTTTGGTAAATTATTAGTGTCTTGAATCATCTTAATTGGATTTTCTTCTCATAAAACCTTTTATACCTTCTTAGTCGTTTAAACATGAATCCTGTCCCTTGCTTTAATGAAGTTCTATGAAATATGTTCACCAGCGTGGGAAATTTTCACTTCACTACATAGAATACATCAGTAATTTTTTTTTAATGTAGAGAGGAAAAGAAAACTGAAGCTACTGAGTCCTCAGGAATAGGCTTCTAACTAGGGTACCTAGCAGTTTACACTTTTTCATCCTCACAATGAAATAATTTACACATTTTAAAGGGCATTGGCTAAAGTGGATGAGGAGGCAGGCAGGCAAGCTGAGAACTTGAGGTAAACCCAATAGTCATTTGAAGCAGTTAATAATCAGGTCAAAAGACACATGAAACAAAATATTCTCTACTCTGTTCCTTAAAAACAACTTTGGGGTCATTCAATAAGGTAGTCACTCGAGTTTACCGGTAGCAGTGGAATTCCTTTGTAGAAAAGTCTTAATCCTTGAAATATTTTTCCAGTTAAAATTCTGTGTCACAGCTGTAGAGGATATGACAATTTGTAGAAATGTGAAAAATGAGTCACAAAGCCCTGCACAAATTCGACCATTATCTGGGGCAGATCTGGGAGGTAAGACTACAAGGATTCTATTACAAACTGAAGACTTTCATTGTTTGTTTTAATCTGATGCTACGTAGGCATAGTTCTGGGTGAGGCTCCTGGCGTGTTCACGGGCACATTTAATGAAGAATTACTTTGGTTACTATTGACACTTTAATACAGAGCAGTGCATCGAAAATGCTGGAATAATAGATTTTAAGCACAGTTTGGGTTATCAGTACTCCAGTGTGCAACAACCCTGCCCACTGCCCTGTAGACGGTTGAATTTGCACCAATACCCATGACTAAGAAAAGCGACAGAAGATAAGACACCCTCTCTGTAAATGTGTGTGCAGTGCATGAGGAGAGAGATGGGAACAAAAATGCCTGGTGGAATGGGCAGCCTGGAAGGAAGCCTACCCCTTCCCAGGACTGTGTTTTCTAGCTCTATCTTTGTCTACACCACCATCTTCACAGCCCATCCTGAGTACACACACACACACACACACACACACACACACACAACCCAAATCAATGTTGGAATAAAAATTCAGAATTTCCACACAAAAAGTAAACCACCCAAGAAATGATTTAATATAAATTCAATAAAGATGGAGGTGTGTGTGTGAAGAGCCTTGAATTCACTGTTTTAAAATAATTAAAATTCTTAATATGCCACCTGAGCTATTATATAAACAATTAACTCTTCAATTCTTTTCACACCCAATCTGCCTTTGATGCCCAAAATACTTATAATAAGGAAATGGGTTGAAAATATCTTAAATTATTATTTTTAAAAACATTTCCAATATTATAAACATTTAAAGCACATACAAAGGCTGTCTTTATTGAATGACTAATTTGTAGTGTCACCATTTTTGGCTCAGCTTGTGTGCCAGGCACTGTTGGCATCATGGGACTAAACAAATTGACTGGGGACTCATGGATGAGGACATATAGTCCTGTATCACATGTCGTGGCTCACAGGCAAGAGATGTAACAGGCTCTGGGAGTGGTGGGAGGTGGTGGTAGTGGTGAAGAATTGTGCCTGTGACATTAGAAGTGTCACCGAGGATCTGGTGGAACCTGGCTTACCAAGATAGAGTGAACATTTGCCAATCAGAAGAAGGGGATATCACATGAGCTCTGAGGGAAAAGAGGCAGGTTACACAAACGGGAATTTTATGTAGAACAGCACAGGATACACATGAAGACAGTTCCCTCCTTACAGGGATGACCAGGAATCTGAATGCCACAGGACACATGAAGAAATTGTATTGAGCAAGTGGTAAGACTTAAGAAGTCCTGGGGGATGAGTGTCTGTGCTGCATCCCCTGCTGTGAATGACCTAAGACAATAGACACACCATCACTGTGGGGACTATGCGCCTTTCCTCCCTTCTTCCCAGGAGACAGCAATGCCAAAATTCTGGGGAGGAAAGCCTGCCCCAGATCTCGTGAAATAGAAGATGGCTTCTTCATAGTTAACAGGTCCATCCGAACACTTTAGAGTAATAATGTTTTTTTTTTTGTTTTATGTGTAGGAGTGTACTGTCTGCATGTAGGTAAGTGCACCCATGGCGTGCAGTGCTCACAGAGGTCAGAAGAGGCTCTTGGATCCCCTGGAACTGGAGTTACTGACAGTTGTTAGCTGCCATGTGAGTGCTGGGATTCAAACCTGGGTCTTCTACAAGAACAACCAGTGTTCTTAACCGCTGAGCCATCTTTCCAGCCCCCAGAGTAATACGTTTTGTACTTTAATTTCTCTTAAATATAAAGTTATTCTCTATTATACTAAGCAAAAGTATGTCAGAATAGGACTGGGAATATAAGTCAGTGGAAGAGCATTTTTCTCACACAGGCCATGTTTGATACTCAGTAACATACATGCACTGTGTTCACAGAACTAAAAGCAGAACATAATACATCAAGTGTGTGTTCTCACACCCCTCTAAAGCCCCCATCCTTTGATTTTGCTTCATCATAGGACACTTTCTTGTTCTTTTCCCTCCCATGGGTTTGCAGTGTTGGTGAGGCCTCATTTTATGATGTTTAAATGCTCCTTTCTGCCTTTTCTGTGGAGTTAAACAAGATAAATTTGTCTTTTATGGCCCAGAACTAAATAATTCGGTACAATTAGCAATTGATATGTCATTTAAAAACATTTTAGGAACTGGAGAGATGGCTCAGCAGTTAAAAAAAACTTGCTGCTCTGACAGAAGACCCAGATTCAGTTCCCAGCACCCACATGGCAGGTCACAACTGTCTATGACTCCTGTTCCAAGGAAACAGTGCTCTCTCCTGGCCTCTGCAGACACCAGGTATGCTCACGGTGTGCTTTCATAGATGTACTATAGCTAAATTCATACATATAAAAAAAATCTTTAAAAACACATTTAAATTATTTTTATTATTTTTATTTTATATATATGAGTCTTTTTCCTGTATGTATGTATATATGTATGTATGTATGTATATAAGTGCACCGTGTGTGCAGTGCATGCAGAGGCCAGAAGAGGTTGTCAAATCCTCTGGAACTGGAGTTACAAATAGTTGTTAGCTGTCATGTGAATGCTGACAATCAAAACTGGGTCTTGTGGAAGAACAACAAATGTTCTTAACCACTGAGCCATTTTAATACATTTTTGAAAAGTCATACTTTCTCCTTGTTTTCGACTATAGTTTATTTTTAATTTTGCATTTTAATGACAATAACTTATGAAATTCTGATAACTAAATGTTTTTTCACAAGTTCATCCATTCCCAAACTACTAACAAAGTTTGAATTTATTCCATGTAGTATAAATGATATGGTAGCATTTAGTATATGCAATATGCAACAAACTAATGTGACGGCGAATCTTCATTGTCAACCTGACACACTTTGGAAAGGGAGCCTCAGCTGAAGAATTTCCTTCATCAGGTTGGCCCATCGGCATGTCTGTGGGGCATTTTCTTGATTGCTACTTGATGTATGAGGGCCCAGCTCAGTCTAGGCAGTACCATACCTAGGCAGGGGCTGTAGCCTATATAAGAAAGGTACCAGAGCAGCAAAACCAGGGGGAGCAAGCCAGTAAGCAGCTGTCCTCCATGGTGTCTACTTCAAGACCCTACATTAAGTTCCTGTCTTGATTTCCCTCAGTGATTGTTACCTGAAAGTGTAAGATGAAATAAACCCTTTCCTTCCCAAACTTCTTTTGGTTGTGGTGTTTATTACAGCAACAGAAAAAGAATTAGAATTCTAATATATTTTATATAACATCTGTAATTGCATAATTTACATTAAAGAATTTAATGTCCTATAAACCAAGAAACAAAGACCTTAAAATGATACTTAGTGTATTAGCTTAATTCTGACTTATCAATCCCATCATGTGTGTATGATACAGAATTGCAGCAAGTGCTGTCATTTATAACAAAGCTCAGAGTTCTGGGCCCAGTAATACCTACAGATTAATTCATCACCTAGGTAATGACGCTCTCCCCCCATTCCACGTCATGGGTTTAACTTGTTAATTAGCAAAAAGTGCTCAAAGTTGTTTATTATAATAGTTTTTTATTCTTTGAAAAATCTCATATGTTTTTATCATATTCAGACCCCCCCTCCCCCATCTCCTCTCAAATTCACCCCTACCTCCTAGCCACCCCTCACTTCATGTCCTCCATTATTTTTTTTAAAAAGTCTATTGTATTAGTCACCTTTCTGTTGCTGTGAGAGAAACACTGACCAGAGCAACTTATGAAAGGAATTTATTTGCACTTACAGTTTCAAGGGGCAAGAGTCCA